CCATGGATTTTTAGCTTTGTCGAAAGGGCTCGAGTCTCATTCCTGTATGTAAAGCACCATTCATACTGGTAAAATTATGAATGTGGACTCTGCTTCATTCTTCAGCACTATGAATAGCCAGGACTCATTGCCCTGTAAACAAGAATATTGAACGAGTTAGAATAAGAAGTAAAGATGGTGTTGGTGCATCTAAAACAGGCAGATCAGAGTTTCCAGAATTAGGACCCGGATTCATGTTGCAGCCATAGCTGAATCTTTGTTACTACAAACATGGATGGGTGGTCACACCCCCACCAAGAGCTAGAAAAGCCTTTCTCCAGGACTGGAGCAGGGGTGTGGATTCAGCACATTTTGAAAAAAACATTAAAGAATATCTCTGTACTGACACCACAGAGAGCTTCCAAAGAGCAGGATGACTCTCACACTGAGATACACATTCATGTGAAATATTTAAGTCACCATTGGGATTTTTAAAATAATAACTCATAAGATTAAGCTACCTAACTGGCTGAGAAGGCAAGGAGATGCCTTCTAAATTTACTTCAGAATACAGTCTTATGGATGTTTCATATTAGGTTAACAGGACTGCATTTGGTCTCACCTCTAAGTTATATCTGCTTGCTTAAATGAGAAAAAGCCAATTTTTATTCCTGTTACCACTACAGATATGGTTACAGGAGAGTGAGATTAATCTTATTTCATCTTGCACATCAGCATGTGTCAGGTGATGCAGGAGTAGAGAGTCTCTTAGTGGTCATATAAGATACAGAGCTGGATTTTTACATTCCAGGGTGTTTGCATTGGAAATTTAAAAATTCAGTTGACTTAAACTGGATGAATCAGATGCACAAAGAATGGAAGGCACCTCTGACTTATTTTACAGGTGGTCTTCAGACTGTAATCACACATTTATGAAAAATTTCACGAGTCGTTCTTAAAATACCTTTGCACAATAGCCGTTCGGTCTTTGGCAGTCATCCTTCCTTTCCCAAAGGTCCAGTAGTTTGTAGCTCAAAAGCCAAGAAAGACAAGATTGTGCCACTTAACCTTCAGGCTTTACTGGGAACCAGAGATTTTTCACCAAATTGGTACCATGTAGATCAGTTTGAATAATCTTGCTGTTCATGAGAACAAGTGCCTTTTATCCCAGCTGTATGCTTATATTTAAGTGCTACATGGTTACCTTTTTCCTAAGCCTTTTCTGAACTGCTAAAATAATAAACCACAAGAACTATTCATTTCTCTTACCCAGCGGCAGCATTTTAATGGTCTGTCAACTTCAAGAAAAGAGTTGTTGTCAGGTAAAGCCTACAGATGACTTAGGTAGTGATCACCCATATTTACTCTAAAGATTTTGTGCATGTTGGTGCTGACCTGAAATAAATTCCCTGGTGTTTTTCATGGAGGATATGTGAAAGAAGGCAGAGGAGAAGGAGGAAAAGGTATTATAGAAATAGAACACTTTACAAACAGCTCTGTATCAAAATACATCAAGGGACATGCATTTTTCTGGTGGCTATTTTTGATTTGTTAAATTAAGTCACTTGACCTCTGTTTGGTCACTTGGCAGAGACCAAATACATTCATGAAATGATGGCTCCTCTGGGCAAATGATTTACAAGCTTCCTTCCTTTCTCTCACCACCCTTCTTGATAGAGGAAAGATTCACAGCACTTAAATAATACCAATTGCTTAGACTTAAAGTTTAAGTGTTTCAGTTAGTGGATGCACGAAGCAATCATGTGAGAGTGCTATATGACATGCTTATGTGAAACTTGGGGACTTCATCAAGTTAATATAGTTAATAATTCTTATGTTTTTTTCTTTTTGTGAGATTGAGATGGGTTATCTTTCAATACAGCTTAGTAAAATCAATAATTCGTGAACTACCTTTTGCCTTTGCAGGTTCTTCGCACAACAGTTGAGCCTTTCGGTTGTCTCCAGCATTTTCTTTTGCAAATGTTTCTCCACCTGTTGCCCTGATTTACCTACTTTTTAGTGGTTTGCTGTCATCTCAGAGTTGAGGCTCACATTACCCCTAACAAATCTGACCTCCAGTCTAAAATAATGATCTTTCCACTCCCTCCAAAGCAAGAGTTACTTAAAAACCCAACATGCTTTAAGTATACGGCCAGACAAATCCTATTCTCAAGTGCACATACTCCTGTTCTTGGGACCTGCATTTTATTTAACCTGGCAAAATGTAGAACATAAAATTATGTAGACAATGTAGTCATCCATAATATTAAGGCTGAAGCAAAATTTCCTGAAGATCCTAAGGAAAAAGTTAGTAAATCTTGCAATTCTATCTGTACAGGATGAATATTGTGAAAGTGTTTTGCTCTGTTTCTTACCTACTCCTGTTTTTGAATCATTCTCCAAACAGACCTAGAAAGTAAGATACTTCCCTGAAATTAGTTTTGTTGGAATGGTCAATGAAGGGCACTTCTGACTCAACAAATCGTGATTCAGAAGATGATTCAGTTGCTCCTTACCCGCATTGAGTCGGTGTTCTAGTGAGCTGGAAGACTTTCCTGTAATAGTTTTTCTGTTTCTTATGTCTCTGTGGTCTCCAGAAGCACTTAGACTTGGCCTATAGCTAGAAAATTATTAAGACATGTCACCTTTATCCATTTGTCTTTAGTAAGTGGATCATTATCCTAAGATCCAAAAGTAACACTAATCAAGCTTTGCTATGTCCTCCAAAAAAGAAGCCTTCAGATGCTTTGCATTCTTCCACAGTTCTGTTTCTTAACCTAATGCAAACATCTACCAGGCTGATTGCAGAGCGTAAGGCAGCAAAACCAAACAGTATTTGAAGATTGTTTGAGTCTTGTGATGACTTCCCACCAAATACTCTTTTTTTTTTTTTTTTTTTTTAAAAAAAATCCTTCAGCACCACTGAGCTGGTGCATCCAAAAAATACTGAATTACACTAGGATATTTTCCCCATCTGGATAGAGTATGAACTCTTTTCTCATATTTTGACTCTTCTCCTGCAAACTAACCCATCAGTGGGAGCCAGAGAAGGAGACTTCAGGAAACTTTTCACATCCCAAAAAGGAAGACAGTTTGAGCATAGTCTGAAGTCGTTGGCTGTTTCCATGCTGGCTTTCAGTGTCTGCTGCAGTGTGTGACATGATCAAAATGGCAGGATAAGAAGGCAGTCTCTGAAGCAGTATTATAGATATAAGTGGGGCAAGACTGCATGTGGTAAGGCCACCTGAAAGAAACCTGCGCTAGCTGAAACTCAAGACAGCAAAAGCCTGAATAAGAGTTTCTGAGGAGTGGAATAGGAAGGACTGTTTCATAGAAGCATTTTGAGGAAAGAATTTTCCAGGCATAGGCATGACTTTTTGATGTGTGTAAGACATAAATGAGTTGCAGGTCAAAGATAATGCTTAAGTTGAGGGCTTAAGGTATGGGTAGAACAGCTCTGTCATCCATGCTGTTAGAGCAGGAAGCTTTCAAGAAGGGCATAATCGCCAAAGTCCTCAAAAATACAAGACTAAACAAACCCCTGGTATTACTGCTACTCCCAGCCTGCGTTACATCGGTCTTGACATTCAGGATGGCTGCCCCCAGTCAACTCAGGCATCCATTTGTCTTTAGGTATCCCAAATGTTACTTCTCAGAAACAGTATCTGATGTCTCCGCATCTGATAATACAGATGTTGGCTAGTAGAGGTCTGAAGACAGGTGCTGCTCTGCAGAAGTGCAGGTTACTTGCTATTCAAAGCAGGAGAGCTTCTATGGGACTAACTTATAGATCCAAATGGAAACGATTTTTGCTCTGGGCTGCTCAGCGTGACCTTCAACCCATTGGAGAAATCTATTCCTCCTATCCTGGCTTATTTATTATTTGTGAAACATTCATGACTTCAAGTTACAGTTAAGATTAGTTTAGCTGCCTGTCATTTTTCTGTTCAAGGTCGGATTATTTCCTTGCATCCAACAACATGAAGCTTCTTGAAAAGGTGCATTTCCCTTTCTTCCCTCAGGAAAAGATACATAAAACTTGTGGTCTGGGATGTGTCAGGTCTATGTGACTCCTTGTGACTTCTTTCTAGTATGTTTGCTGTACCATCTCGTTGTGAAAGTATTTCTGTTACGTCTTTTTAAAAGGACAAGCAAGATTCAGATACGATATAATCCAGACAAGTACAGGTATTGTACTAACCATAGCATAACTCTTTACCAGAAGTGGGGTCAGACTGCAATTTATATCAGTTTGGCTGCACCATCCTGTCTTTGCAACCTCTCTTTCTGGAAAGGTGGAACTTCACAAGCTTGTAGTCCTGAGGGCACTCTGCTGCCTGAGCAGGACGCCGCTTTTCCACAAGACGCTGAGACTTCTTGTAGCATTTGAGACCAGATTCTTTTGACCCATAGACTCTTAAATGGATATTGAATTGCCTTAAGGTCTCTTATAAATTAAGTAAATTAGCACCATATAGCTTTATATAGCCTACTCTTTAGCAGTGCAAAGGAACTGCTTTGCCAGGCATTGTGAGTGTGATTTTACATATCAAGATGATAGAGTTAGGAAAAAAACGATTTGGCCACATAAATTCTTGACACTCATGCTCTGGTGTGAAATACTAGCATGGGAGAGTCCCTCTGTTAGCCAAGAGACTTTGTTGTTGAGCCAGTTTCTGACCCGTAAGGTTCAGATGAAAGATGCAAAACCACAGTGGACCTTTGTAAAAGCAAGAGAAATCACACCCCACGTGCAGAATGGTGCGTACCTCCCTTGGGATCCATGTGAAAACCCAACTAGAGAATCCTGGGACCTTGGGAAGGCAGATAGCCTACCCCCTTCTCGGTCGCTGTTTCTTCCTGCCACATCTACACTCAGGCTGTTGCAGGTCTGAAAATCATCATGTTTCATCTTCACTAACCATGTGAAAGCTCTAACTTGTCTTTACTTAATCTTTTTCTTGGCTTCTGGCAGCTGCAGCTTGTTGTCTTGTTGTTGTGTATTCCATCTCCCTCTTTTCCAGGCTGTTAAAAAAATTGCACTACCCCAGTTGTTTCCTTTTGATCTGATCAGCTCATCCATTGGGTAGATGTGGCACTTGGAGACATGGTTTAGCGGGCATGGGGGTGTTGGGTTGATGGTTGGAATGATGATCTTAGAGGGCCTTTCCTATCTTAATGGTTCCTAGTTTTTACCTTCATTAAAAATAATCCAGCCACCAAGCCAGGAAACATGAAATTGCTACTCTCCCCTGAATTGGTTTAGTGGTGGACTTGGTAGCGTTACGTTAATGGTTGGAGTGGATGATCTTAAAGGTCTTTTCCAACCTAAACGATTCTATGATTATCTGACCCTAGGCACTAACATCCAGCCTTTAGGTCTAAGATCATAGTTCTTTTCTTGTTCAGAGCTCTGTCTGTCCTCACCCCTTCTCTCTGACACTCTCTATATCCAGATTTTACTTGTGACCGCTTCCCGAGCAGATATGACAAATATTTAAGAATTTTGGGCAGACAGTACTATTTTATTTTCTCCTGGCTGTAACTTTTCACCTGGTTGTAACTTCCAAAACACAGCTGTGCAATTGAGTGAATTAGTATAGCTTTAAGGTCTATGAGTAGACTTTTTATGTGCCTTGACGCTGATGGGAGCTGAGGGCGCTTATCTTTGCGGGACTGGGTGTTTCAGCTAAAAGTGCATCTGGGGGAAGGGTCTTTCCACAGCACTGTGCATTCTGAACTTTGCAAAGGGGCTGTGCAGGCTGGCGTGGTGTGTACCTATTGCTGTACTCTTGCTGGTGTGCCAACTTTGAAAAATATAACTTTTTTTTTTTTTTTTTTTTCCACCTAGGGCCGATGGGAGAGTCAGCAAGATGTATCCCAAGGTGCCACAAATTCCAGTAGAGGCATTAGTCCATCTCGTAGCTCTCTGCCAGGCTCTGGGCAGCAAAACCACTCTCCTGATCCAGGTAAGGGCTTTCCTAAAGCTAAACCAACTTTCCTAAAAATGGAGTGAAGTTAAGCCAGCTCCTGAATGTTAGATAAAGCTGAGCTGCTTTCAGAGATGCAGAGAAATTTTTTCCCCAGAGCAATGTCCATGCAGTTCCCTCTACGTGAATATTTAGCAGTTGTGGCTCTCAGCTATTCCACTAGCCTTTCCTTTACCTCTGTTACTAGTTCTGCTAAACGCCACGTGGTTACAGTTGTCTGAAGATGCAGTCTTATCTCAGGAGCTCAATTTCTAAAGTCAAAAGTTAGCTGGGCTCAGAAAGTGCCATTAGTTGTATGAGTAAAACAGCAAAGACAGTAAGACTGCTAATGTTTTAGAAAATAAGGAGCTCTGGAATTGGATAGGTATTTTGCAGCTGATGTGCCTAATGTGTAACTGAGAGTGCAGACACACGTAGTGGTATTTTGTATGTCTAACTAGGTTTTCTCAAGGAGGAATAGAGTAGAAAAACTAGAAGTATGAGCAAGGAGAGTAGAATGCCCCTAACTTTTTTTCTTTTTTTTTAACTTGAATATTCTCATCTTTTACTTCTAGTAAGTTTTTAAATTGTTGTTAAAATCGTGTGTTATATGGATATCCATTTTCGATTATGCTTCTTGATTTTTTTTTCCTGCTTCTGCACATTATAAAACATTTTATTTTCCTAATTGCAAACAACAAGCTTTTTCACACCATGCGATGAAAAAAAAAATTTCTGTATACTGGAGCCACAGATTAAGACCTGCGCAATATCCCTTTCAAGGGAGGAGGAAGCACTCAGTGCTTTTCCTTGGCTAATGCTTTGACCACTGGAAGATGACATTTTAGTCTAAGATGACGACAGTTTTGTAATAATTTTTTTAGGGTGGTTGGGTTGGGTTTTTTTTTGCTTTTGCTTTCCCCAAAGTATTATA